CCCCACGCCCCTCATTGTCTCCCCGGGGTCCCCGACGCCGTCAGCACAGCCACATGCATGGCTGAGGTGCCCTGGTGTGGAGGTGCAGCCCAGCCTTGCAGCCCAGCGCAGCGCAGAGGCCTCCCAGGATCTGCCAGATCTCCCGCGAGGATGGCCGAGGGCCACCAGCTGAGGAGAGGCTCCGAAGCTGGGTCTGTCTTCCCTGCAGGCTGGAGTCAGAGCCAGCCCCTTCCTAGGCGGGGAACTTTGGGCAAGTCGGCTTCCAGGAGCCTCAGTCTCTTCTGAAAAGTGGGATAGAGGTAGTCCCCACTGCGGGTCGTCCTGACGCCCGATGAATTCTGTAAAGCCTTGGCCAGGCCGGGCACATGGCATATGCTCACTGAGCCTGAGCGGCAGTGCTCATGGCGTCCCACTGTGCCCGCAGTGCCCGTGAGAGCCCAGGCCCGGATGCCCCGCAGCAGACAAGAGCCTGGAGTCCGTCTTCCCAGATGTCAGTCCCTGCCCCTCCCCCAGGACCTCCGCTCTAGAACAAAGGCTGGGGTTCAAGTCTAGCCTCAGGAGCAGAAGTAACTTTGTATCCCAAACGAAAGCGGAGAACCCTTCCAGAACAGCCTCCCTGTGGCAGCCCGCACATGCCCAGGTCCAACAGAGGCAGTGAGTCCCGAACACCCACGGCTCAGAAAGCCATGGTGGCCCCTGAGGGGCAGTGAGGGACACGTGGAGCCCTCTCGACACCACCTGGAAGGGATAGCCCGACCCCTGCTCGGGAGGCCGGAGCCATTGTCCCCATGGTCTGGCGAGCGCCTCTGACACAGACCTTTTGCCCACAGACCTGTGTGACCCTGGCTTCCTTGCAGCCTCAGGTGACTTCCCATCTGGGCGCCATCTCCAGGAAGCCGGAGTGTGAGTCCGGAGCCCTCCTGGTTCTCAACTTGGCACTGTCGTCACCACCAACTGTGCGACCTCAGGCAAGCCACTCGCCCTCTCTGGGCCTCTGTCCCACCTCCGTAAAATGAGAGGGCTCAGGGAATCTTTAGATGCCCGCGCAGCTCTGGTTCACGGTTTTAGCAGAGCACGGGCACACAGTGCGTACTCAGAGAAATCAGTCAACACACGCGTCACTAGACGCCAGCGCCCACCCAGGCCTGGCGCCTTCTAATCTGGTGCCGATGGCCCGCATGGCCTCAGTCCCCAAGGCCTGCCCAGGGCCGGAGCTCAAGGAAAGGGCATTGACTCATCTAAGAGGTTACTTCGGGCCTTCCAGTCCAGTCTGGTCCCCCCACCCAGCGCTGCACGTGCTCAGAGACCCCCGATTAGAGGGCCTGGGGTGCCTTCCTCCAAGTCCGAGCTCCGAGGAGACAGCCCCAACCCGCCGTCGGGGGCTCTGTGCAGGAGCACACTGGGTCGGCGGCCTGGGGCAGCAGAGCGCCCCTCACGTGCCCCGTCCCCATGGGCAGAGAAAGGGGCACAGAGCCTCAAGCTGGGCGTCTTTTATTGGAAAAGGAAATAAGAAAACAAAAGGCCACTGCATTGCCTGTGCCAGCCGCCCACGGGAGACGCACGGGTCACAGCGCCGAGTCACTCAGCGGGCCCGCAGGCACAGTGGGCTCTGGGCTGCAGCTCCCTGGGGGTCCATGGCCCAGGACTCGCGGGCTCAGGCCTCTCAGGGGTCTTGGGGCCGGGTCAGCTCTCTGCGGTTCTCTGGATGGGCTCCTGTTGCCCATGTGCAGCTCTCATGTCCAGCAGGACACCAGGACTCCTCCATTCCAGGAAGCTCCCTGCAGGGTGGGTCTTCCACACCCACTCCTGGCACCTCCTGCCAGCTGAGGTAGCAGCCCCTTCCTTCCATCTTCAGGGCACCAGCAGGGTCCTGCCTCCCGCCCTGGGCCTGGGAGCCGCAGCATTACTGGCTGGGCACGCCCTCTCTCCTTGCAAGGGTGGTTCCCCCAGCCTTGAGGAATTGCAGCTGCTTTGAGTGTCCAGGGAAGCCTCAGCTACAGGTGTTAGAGCCCCGGCTCAGTGTGGCCTGGCCCCAGTGTCCACAAGGGCCCACGGAGGGCACCAGGGCCCTGGTAGGTTGGCCTCCACTCCCAGGACCTGAATTCCCTTCTGCTAGGATGTAGCAGGGCGGGAGAGGCTGGAGAGAAGGGCCAAGCTGGCAGCCCCGGGCGAGGGCCAGGGGCTGTAGGACATCCCTGCAGAGGGCCAGGCTGGACCCACGCAGGGAAGCAGCCACAGGCCATCATGTAGCAAAGACGGGGCAGGATGTGGCGGGACGGTCCTTGGCCTAGCAGCCAAGGGGGACACTCAGAGCACGCACAGACACACGTACTCGCGTGTGTACTCATACACTCACACGCATGCACTCACTCATTTATATGCATGTGTGCTCATGTACTCTCATAAATGTGCACGCACATGCACTTGCACACTCATAAGTGCGCTCACACTCACAGGGGTGTACTCACCCTTGCACGCACGTTGTCCTTTAAGTGCACTTCCGTGCACACAGTGCCCACACAGCCACACACACACATGTGCACACTCCTTTCCACATACACACAGGTTCTCATCTCAGAACACTGGCTAAGGTTCATCTCCCTGTGAAGAGTTTCTTCAGAGCCCCGTAGGCCTCCCCGACCCCCAGGCTGTGGGGCCCACAGCCAGCACTGGACCTGCCACCAGGTCTCAGAGTTAGACATTTATTGGCCAGGCCAGGTGGCCTCCAGCTCTGGGGGACACAGGGAAGCCCCGGGTCAGGAGGTAGGAGCAGGCTGAGGGCTCCCACCACAGCACCCATCTCCCCAGGCCTCTGGTTCAGTGGAGGCAGGATCACAGATGGGCAAAGGCCCTGGGTGGAATTGGGAAGGGCAGACGTGGGAGGCAGCCCTGGGGCAGGGCCCCGGGTCAGGGGGTCCGGGAGGACCTGGGATTAGAGCTGAGAATCATGCTGTGAGGAGTTCCCTCTGTGCCGGACCAGGGCCATTGGGGTGGTGGCGAGGAACTGCAGGAGGCAGGGCCGTCCAGGCTGTGCACCCCCATTCCAGGCCTTCCCTGGGAAAGCAGAGCACCGGGGTCCGGAAGAACTGACCCTCCGGGGGCGAGGACTGACAGCCCACAGGAAACACCAGGCCACCCCACCACCACCACCACCGGGCCCAGGGTGGGCCCAGAGAATGAGTCAGAAGCGGGTGCTCTGGTAACGTAGCCGCCGCAGGTCTGCGAGGCCCTCGCTCCGGCCGTACAACTCCCTGCAGGTTTTTTGCCGCTGCTGCTGCCGCTGCTGGAGCTGCCGCTGCTACACCGGTCCTCGTAGATGGAGATCTCGATCTGGGGTCGCGGTCAAGGACAGCTGCAGCTGCAGAGGGGTCAGGACGGACCCAGGATGGAGACCAGCAGCCCGCAGAAGGCAGGGCTCACACTGCTGCCTAGATAGCCCCACCCTGCCCCAGGCCACCCGTGTGCATTGCTCAGCTAGCTGTGGGGATCTGCAGGGCCGCACTGCTGGGCACAGGGCCATGGTCACAGCGGACAGAGCTGACCACCCTAGGAGCGGGCCTAACCACCACTCTTAGGACACCTGTCCCTGGATGTGATGTCTACCGCACAGTAGTGTGGGCCCCTAGGACACCTGTCCCCAGACGCGGTGTCTACTGCACAGCAGTGTGGGCCCCTAGGACACCTGTCCCTGGATGTGATGTCTACCGCACGGCAGTGTGGGCCCCCAGGGCACCTGTCCCCGGAAGCGGTGTCTACCGCCCGGCAGTGTGGGCCCCTAGGACACCTGTCCCCGGACGCGGTGTCTACCGCACGGCAGTGTGGGCCCTGTGTGGCCTGAAGTCAAATCCTGCCTGCCCACACTCCAGCAAGGTGACCTCAGGCCAGCCACTGAACTTGCTAGCTCTCAACTCAGTGGCCTTGGGGTGCTTATGCGGAGTCCGTGAAACAACGTATGTAGCACTGAGCAAGGCCCGGCTCGTAGTAAGAGCCCGATAAACAGAAGTGCTCTCCCCGCTGCATGAGCGTGTGCTTCTGGGCGTTTGTGTTTCCTGTGAGGCCGTTGAGGGTTCTGCTGCCATGCTGTGATGCTGGCGCTCACCTGGACCCCGCATCCCAGGGGGAGTCAGCACAGCCTGCCCACTGCCCGGCCTCTCGTCAGCACCGAGACCATGGGGGTTGCCTCACCCTGCACGGGCTGCTGCTCGCCGGCGAGGGGCACAGTGGGACCTCCGTCAGCCTGTAGGTTACCTGGGCTGGCGGCCACATACGCGAGCGCAGAGCAGCACCCTCCTGAGGGCACCGCGCCCAGCAGCCAGGAGAGCCAGAGCTCAGGCCCCGCCGCGACACACCGGCTCTGTGGCTCTGAGCCGGCTCTTGAACGCAGTGTCATCGCTATAGACGGGAATGAGCGCGCCACACTGCACGGGCGTTAGGAGAACGACGTGCATTCGGGCTGCGAAGCACTTAGCATGACTCCATGCGGCCTGATGGATGCAAGCATGAAGTCCAAGGACACCCCAGTCGTTTGTGGTAGGGGAGGGGACTGAGGACCATTGACGTGGGGAGTCCCAGGAGGGCCCTGGCCAGAGCCCCACGGGCTGACGCTCGGTGCCGTCACACAGAGCAGCCGGGAAGGATACGACCCTCATCCCTCGCTCCACGGGATCTGTGAGCAGGAGGCCTCGAGGCGCGAAAACCTTCTCATTCTGCTCCTGGATGTAGCGGGAAATCTTCTTGAGGACCTGAAAGAGAGGGCCCGTGGAGGGCGAGCGTGCAGCAGGGAGGCCCTGGAGGCGGGGCAGGGCGGGACATGGGAGCCACCTTCTCGTAGTGGGTCTCCATGCAGAGGAAGATGAAGTAGGCCGTAGCACAGGCCAGGCAGCCCTCCAGATAGGAGCTGCCCCCGATCTTCTCGGCCTCTGCGTAGAAGCCGTTGAGGGTCTTCACGGTCTCTTCGAAGAGCTGCCGCTCAATCTGAGAGAGAGAAGGACAGCCAGGCTGAGCGGGGCCCCGCGGTGTGGGTGGCTACAGGTGGGGTGATGGCGGTGGGGCCACGCGGGTGGGAAGGAGATGACAGCCTGACACCCAGGTGAGCCAGAGCTGCAGGTGGAGCGCACACGGCCTGGACAGGGAGCAGAGGCCTGGGCTCCAGTGCAGACCTGCCAGTCAGCCGTGTGGCACTGGGCTCATGGCTCACCCTCTCCAGGCCCCGAGTCCCATCTACAACACGGCGTGAGAGCAGCTGCTCAGCCGCCCTTGGAAACAGGACCTCCCATGAGACCCTGGGTGATGCAAACAAGCCTTCTAGGGCTCTGTCACCCCCAGTCTTGAGAGTGGTGGGAGGACTCAGGACGAAATTTGTAGGCGTGCTCCGAGTTTACATGAGACCCCAACTGCATGTGACTGCTTGGGGGTGCTGGGGCGTCTCCCCAGGAGGGAGTCTCTCCTAGCTTAGTCACCCAGTCCAGTGTGTCGACAACTGCGAAGCCAGCCTGCTGCCTCTACGGTGGTGGCCACTAGGCCAAGCGCTCACGCCTGCCAGGTGACCCCATGTATCTGCTCTTCCCTTGGCCCTCAGAGCAGGACCATCAGCAGGTACACCTTCATCCCCCCATCACAGGGCGGCTGTCCAAGTTCCTACCACTGTGACCATGTGCCCCGCGGTCCCGGCCGCCGCCATCTCTGGTCCTTACACTGGCCTCCCTGCCTCCTCCCTGTCCTAACTTCCCTCTAAGAAGGATCATGCCAGAGCCAGCAGGTGGCATAGTGGTGAAGGCGCTGGATTCCCACTTGGTCAGCCACAGTTCAAGTCCTGGACCTGGCAGCTTGCTTTCTCACTTTCTCATTTTCTGTCACTTTCTCACTCTGGTGAGCTCACATGTCAAACTAAAAAGTAAAAATAGTCATAATAAAATTAAATAAAATAATCATTATTTTTTAAAAGAAGAAGGATCGTGCCACATCTCTGATCAAGAGCTTCCGGAGCCTTCCCGTCTCTCTCTACGAAGAATCCGAGAAGCCCTGCTGCTCTGCTCTGCTTGGGTCCCTCTCCTCACTCAGTTCTCTGTTTCTTGGAAATTCCTGAGGCCCTTGTGCCCGTGCCTCAGCTGCGACAGTCCTCCCGGCACCCTCCACAGCTCATCCTGTATCCCCTCAGGACTCGCCGTATCCGGGGGGGCCTCCCCCATTCTAGTACTTGTTACCACCTGGCTGCCGTGCACGTCGGGCTTCCACTCCCATCTCCTGTGCCGTCTAGTAGGAAGCAGGCCCAGGGCCAGCAGGTGGCATAGCGATCAGGGCGCTGGCCTCCCACGTGGCTGACTCCTCGTTTTGAGTCCCAGACCTGGTGGCTTGAAACTCACGCCGGGCATGTGTGTGTACACGCCCAAGACTCCAAGAGGAGAGGGGATTGCAGCGTGGTATCCCCCGGGGACTGATTTCTCATTTTCATCCCTCTGTCTCTGTTTCTCTGGCAAGTACACATGCCCTACAGCAAAAATCTTTCTCTCAAAAAAAAAAAAAAAAAAAAAAGGAAGGAAGGAAGAAAGCTAACTCCAGGAGTACACTCCCACACGCCCAGTGCCTAACACACCGCTGGTTCTCAGCCCCTACACAGGGACTGCTGAGTGCACGTGCCCAGGGCCGCACGGCACCACCTGAGTCTGCTCCTTGCCACGCACCCTGCCCCAGGAGGTCTGGGGGGTCTTGCTCCAGGTCCCACAGGCGTCAGGGTGTCCGGAGCCCTCATTTCCACCCGCTTCAGTGTGAAGCATTCACACACTTGCACACTTGCCCCGTGGGACCATGACTGCCCATCACACGGCTTGGGGTCCTCCCTGCCCAGCTAGGACAAAAGTGCTCCCAAAGAATGATCAGAAGCGTTGGGGTTCCGACCACCAGCCCTAACGCACCTGGAGGGAACACACAGAGTACACTCTGCCCAGCTGGTCATGACCCAGGCCCTGCTCTAGTCTAGACGTCACTCTCCCCTGACGTGGAGAGACCTGCATTGCTCCCCCAAAGCTGGCTGTGGCCAGAGCAGCTAAGGCCGGCCCTGCCTAGTTCGCTAAGCCTGCTCAACTCTGCCTGGGCTGCTGAACGGCAGGACCGGGATCCGTCCTCTGCCCACCCCAGCCCCCGGCCAGCTCTAGGCAGCCTGGGTGAAGGCTGCGTACATTCCCAGACCAGGAACAAAACTCAGCAGTCGATACCCACGGGGCCCCAACTGAGAGGGGGTCCGAGAGGCACCTGTGGCCCACATAGCTGAGTCAGGAGGCAGAGGCTGTGGACAATCTTTGACTGGACCCCTTCATTGCCCCCCAGCGGAGTGGAACAGAGCCTCAGGTGGGGAGAAGGGAGAAGGGCCACCTCCAGCTCTTTCTCTGGCTCTCTAACTTCCCTGCCGAGACAGATCACGAAGGCATCTGGCTTTATGAATACGCACTACAGATGCAATGGTATCAGTGAGAACATGAGAAAGAGAGGGCACTGGGCCCAGCAGGTGGCCTGGTGATTAAGGCACTGGACACTCCCACATGGCTGACCATGGTTCGAGTCCTGGACCGGCTGGCTTGCTTTCTCACTTCCTCTCTCTCTCTCTGCGTCTCTCTCCGGTCAAATTAAAAGAAAATGAATGACTCAATAAAATTAATCATTAAAAAAAGCACAGCATCAAGGCTCGTCCGCACCAAGACCGTGCTCCGTGACTGCCTCGTCACTTCCTCTTCCGGGCCCTCAGTACCCCTGTAAACAAGAGGGGCAGACTCGTGTGGTGCTTCTCAATCTTTACTGCACAGATGGATAGCCCGAGGAGCTGCTTAAAGCCCGTTCTAACCACGCCCGCATTTCTCTCTCTTTCTTTCTTTCTTTCTTTCTTTCTTTCTTTCTTTCTTTCTTTCCTTCTTTCTTTCTTTTTTCTTTCTTTCCTTCTTTCTTTCTTTTTTCTTGGAGAGGTTTTTGCTATTAAGGCACGTGAGCTCGCCAGACAGAGACAGAGAGACAGAAAGCGAGAAATCACCCCCCAGGGGGGATGGCCACATCACAATCCCTTCTCCTCCATCCTCCTCTCGGGATCTTGGGCACGCACGCACACGCGCACAGCATGAGTTTAAGCCACCGGGTCCGGGACTCAAACTGCAGTCAATTACATGGGAGGCCAGTGACATAGCCATTACACTAACTGCTGGTCTCCCAGACCTGCATTTCAAATGTGCTCCCAGGTGGTGCCAACACTGGCAGCGCACAGACCGGTGTCAGTGACAAGGGCTTCGTCGTCCTCGCCAGCTGCACGCTGAACCCCTCTGAGCAGCTCAGAGAGCCTACCATGCCCCAGTCCCACCCTGGGGGATTCTGATTCACATGGGCTGGGGAGGGGGGAGGGCATTAGAGCAGAAACGACCACGCTGCCCTCCCAAGCTGACACCCTGCAACGTTCCTTTTCTTTTTAGTTTTTAGTTTTTGGTTTTTTGTTTATTTTTGTGTTTTTTTTCCCCAATTTTGCTAGAGTTCATGTGCTCACCAGAGAAAGAAAGAGAGAGGGAAAGTGAGAAATGACGCTTTGGGGGGATGGCCACATCGCCGTCCTGTCTCCTCCAGTCTCCCTTCGGGATGTCAGGTATGCACACACATGCATCTGGGGTAACGCTCATGCCACCAGGTCCAACACTTGAACTGCACAGGCGGCCATGTGGGACTCAGCACCTTAACCTCCACACTGCCTGCTGGCTAGACGTTCCTTTTCAACAGCTCCACGGTGCTCTGACGCACAGCCAGGGGCGAGCAGAAGCGCTGAAGCCCCTACAGCACGAGAAGACCAGCAGTCCTCCACCCGGGGCCTGTGAGTCACTCTGCTCTGTTCACTGGGGGATTCTTCATTAAAAAAGCAAGGTTTAAACAAACAGGATTCATTTTTAAATTAAGATGGGAAGCAAAGCTGAGGCCTCTGGCCTCTCCTCACATGCAGACTCTGCCTTCTTTTTGTTTATTGTATTTTGTTTTATTTTTGGGTCTTTGCCATAGGGCACATGCACTCATTGGAGAGAGAAAGAGACAGAGAGGGAAAGCGAGAAATCACCCCCGGGGGGATGGCCACTCCACAGTCCCTTCTCCATCCTCCTCTTGGGATTTTGAACACACACTCACAGATGCCCAGCATGAGTTTTAAGCTGCCAGGTCTGAGACTCAAACCATGGTCGGCCACGTGGGAGTCCAGCACCTTAACCACCACCCCACCCTCTCGGCCCTGGCATCAGGATTTCCCCCAGAAAATTCTGATGTACAACCGGGGTTGAGAACAGCTGCTCATGAATGGAGACCCCTGAACCACAACCCAGCCACGAGTCAGCGTCTCTGCACGACACCTAATACCCGGCGGGACTGGGAATCTCCATTGTTTTCAGACTTCCCGCGGGATTCTCACGCAGCTGCGGTTTGAGAGCTGCTGGGCCAGAGGCTTCTTCAGCCCCACCTGTCTATGAGTATTAATATTCTTCCATTCGAAGCGGCTGAACGAACTGTGTGTTCTCTCATGTGCGCGTCATATGATCCTGGAAAAAACACCTTCCAGTAAGGCCTTAGTGTCCTCATGGCCCTAGGTTTCAGGCTTAGAGAAAGGCCTCCTTACCCGGCTGTCCAACTCAGGGGGAAATTTGGTCTGGAACTGACAGATGGTCCCGTCGCTGTAGTCTCTCTGGATGAAGACCTTGGTGGCCAGCGAGGCGCTTCTCCGGAGCTCCTGCAGGTTGTGGGCCTGGGGGACACACAGGGGGCAGGCTCTGAGGTAACCCAGGGCTTCCAGGTCTGCAGGCCTTTCCACACTAAGACAGGGGTGTTCCCAGCAGGGATGAGCTGGCCACACGGAAAGTTCTCCCGGGTGGCTATGGGGAAGGACTATGGATTTACCCAAGAAGCTCACCCCAGAAAGAGAGAGAAAAGAAAAATAAAGACAGGGCCAAAGCCTAGCCAAAAATGAGAGGTTCAGGAGCCACCGACAGAGCCGGGAGCTGTTCTTTTATGTTACTTAGTTATTTCTTCCAGGAGAGAGACGGCACCCCCCGCAGGGTCCTCATGCCCCAATCCACGCCCGGCCTCAGCCAGCCCTCACGGGCACGCGTGCTCCCAGCTCGTACAGGGCCTTGGACAAGAGCACAGGACCTTTCCACAGGGGCTCCTGGCTCACAGGGCATGGCTGTACTGCTGCACCACCACGTGGCCCCCAAGAAAGGATTCTTTTTTTGAGAGGTTTTTGCCATAGGGTGCATGCACTCGCCAGACAGACAGAGAGAGACAGAAAGTGAGAAATCACCCCCCAGAGGGGATGGCCACGCCACAATCCCTTCTCCTCCATTCTCCTCTCGGGATCTTGGGCACGCATGCACACGCGCCCAGCGTGAGTTTTAAGCCACCGGGTCCGGGACATGAACCGCGGTCGACTACGTGGGAGTCCAGTGACATAGCCATTATGCCAACTGCTGGTCCCAAGAAAGGATTCTGTTTTTGTTTGTTTTTGTTTGTTTGTTTGGGGAGAGGTTTTCGCTATAGGATGCATGTGCTTGCCAGACAGACAGAGAGAGACAGAGAGACAAAAAGCGAGAAATCACCCCCCAGGGAGGATGGTCACGCCGCAATCCCTTCTCCTCCATTCTCCTCTCGGGATCTTGGGCACACACGCACATGCGCCTGGCATGAGTTTTAAGCCACCGGGTCCAGGACACAAACCGCGGTCGACTACGTGGGCGTCCAGCGACATAGCCATTACGCTAACTGCTGGTTCCCCCAAGAAAGGATTCTAACAGGAGGAACGAGACCTGTGCCCAGACTCTTCCCTTATCTACTTCTTTCTCTCACACACACACTCACACTCACTCACACACACTCACACATATACACTCATACTCGCTTACACACATACTCACACTCACTCATTCACACACCTACTCACACACTCTGACACTCTCACACACTCACACACACACACACACACACAGAAGGACCTTCACACTTCCTCTATTCACCAAGTCACCAGAGCTCACAATCTGCCAGGCCTGGGCTTAGGAACCAGCACGGAGGACCGAAGCCTCAGGCCCAGCAGGCAGGCTCCCAGCTCCCAGCAGGGTTCTGTGGGGAGGGACGTGGAAGAGGAGGACCCGGTACCCCTGAGCTTTGAGAGAGCCTAGGTTCAGGCTAGAGAGCAGCAGGGCAGCTTCACGCCAACGACTCTCACCACAGGACAGAAAGGGCCTGTGAACGTCCAAGTGCCCCAGAGAAACTGTGGGCAAGGCGGACTGATGCCAGAAACTGAAGAATCTTCCCAGATGAGAAGGAGTCAGGTGATTTCTGTCCCTTGTCCGCACCTGCAGACCAGACGCTAACAGAGACTCAGCATCTGAGGGGAGTGGGCTCAATTCCACAGGGGAGGGAGGCTGTTTCTTCCTCTTTTTCCACTCTCCAGTCTCAGCCACCCACATCTGAGACAAGCGTCCACAGGTGAAGCCTTGCACCGGGGCCATGCAGAGAGCGAGCCCCAGGGCAGCGTGAACAAGCAGCAGTTCATCCTGTGTAATTAAGCTGAGTGGTTCAGCCACGCGGCTCTCGTTTATTGAGTCCCTCCTAGTACCAGGCTCTGGGGAGGCCAAGGAGACAGTCTGAGAGCTCCAGGGAGGAAGACGAGTAAATATATCACGAGTTTGACGGTGATGAATGCCACAGAGAAGGAGCGTCTCACCCAGAGCACGCACGCAGAAAGGGCGCCCTGAAGCCTGGGTTGAGTCATCAAAGCAAGCCAGGAGTTGCCAGTGGTAGAGGGCAGGCGGGGAGCTGGGAGAGGAAAGGCAGCCCTGACCACAGGGGAACGTGTGCAAAGTCACAAAGATAGCAGAGAGAGCCATCTACTCCAGGGACCAGAGGCAGATCTCAGCACCCCCCACACATATGTACAATTATTATGTGTCAATCAAAAGTGAAAAATGAATGCCCAAGGACGAAAGACTGGATTTTTTAAAATGTGGCACATATACCCTATAGAATACTACTCAGCCATAAAGAACAGTGAGACCCTGACATTTGATACAAAGTGGCTGAATAGAGAGGATGTAGTGCTAAGTGAAGCAAGCCAGACTATGAAAGACAGGCACTGTATGTCCCCACTCTAAATGACCGAATGTCTGCACTTATGGCAGAAACTGAGAGACTGGAAGCTGTAACAGCAGAGATGGCAAGTGTAGAAACCAGAGACTATAGGGAGATGGGTACTGGGCAGTAGGAGGGCGGGACCAAGGAAAACATTTAACCGACACAACAGTGGATGTTGGGGATAATGAGCATCATAATATCTTTTACTTCATCGACATGCAATGCACACAGGCTTTGAAAAACCATATCGTACTCTGTTTCGATATACAATGATTAAGTGTAAAATAAATAAATAACTAATTCAAATGTTTTAAAATAAAGGGGAAGGACCAGCAGTTAGCGTAATGGCTGTCGCTGGACTCCCACGTAGTCGACCACGGTTCACGTCTCGGACCCGGTGGCTTAAAACTCATGCTGGGCGCGTGTGCGTGCGTGCCCAAGCGCGTGTGCGTGCGTGCCCAAGATCCCAAGAGGAGAACAGAGGAGAAGGGATTGCGGTATGACCATCCCCCCAGGGGGGTGATTTCTCGCTTTCTGTCTCTCTGTCTCTCTCTATCTGTCTGGCGAGCACACGTGCCCTATAGCAAAAACCTCTAAAATAAATAAATAAATAAAATAAAGGGGAAAGAACAGTGCTTCCGCCATTCTCC